TCAATGTTATTAGTTCCATGTTAATTAATTTACGTAATTTTTCATAATTAACATGTCCCAATCTACCATGCCATAAATGTGATGACTCAATCATATAAGTAGAAATAACTATATTATTATTAACTTTAGGTACAACAGCCATTGCATTGATCTTGAACATACCATCAGTAAGATACCATTTCTCTACATACGTCCCATTCTTGGAGAGTACAAACTTATCAAACTTAAAAACTATTTTGAAGCCATTCTTGCTAAGCAGCGATTCAGAAACCAAGTTCTTCCAAATGCCAGGAACATGAAGCACTTTATTAAGAGGACTTCCTTCCTAGATGCCATTTTCAAAACCACGCTCGCTTGGCCTTCAACTTTGGAGGTGGAAGAAATTCCCATAAACAAATGCTCACTATTATCGTTTTCTTCATAGGTAAAGAACATCTTCCTATCAGAACATATGTGACATGAGGCTCCAATATCCACCCACCGTGCTCTAGTGTTGCTCACCAAATTAACTTCAGACACGACAGCAGATAAGTTAAAATCTGCATAGTGCTGAGCAACAACAACATAAGCATTTGTAATTTTGTATTAGCAAGGGCACTAGCCTTCTCAGATACTTTCAACATTTTTTTATCTTAATTTACAATGTCAAACTTAAAATTAATACTGTATAAAATAAAGCCAGAAAATAGACAACTTGATAGAAGTTCAAAGCACATAAAGCTACTGATTATATAACTAACAAAACAAATTATAGAGATGCAGATTAGTTATCAAACTTGTCAAACTAAATTAACAAAAGGTAATAAGAAACACAAGATGACAAATGTGGCTATTAAAAGGAAAAGAGGATTTGCTTATTTGAAAAGAAGGTTCAACATGTTAACTACTTTGCAGGTTTCTAACATTTATACATAACTTATCAAACAAACAAAATTTAAAATAGAATTAATGGAAAATTATCGAACATAGTGATTCATAATTATAAACCAAATAAAGCTACAGTCTATTCTGATTGATAGAAGAACACAGAAACTCAAAACATATATTAACACTTTAATAGTAAATAAAACATATAATTCGTCTTAAGTTTGTTGGAAATATAGTGCTAATTTGTTGTTAAACAATAATTATAATGGAACATGCATACAAAATTAAATGAGTTTAGAAGAACCTTAATTGAGTCGAGGCAAGTGTTGGATGCTCTGACCTTAAGACGAATTACGCCCCACACAGGTGCTAATGGTTACCCGCGCTCGCCTCCCCGGATACAACGACTCCACTTCCTTGTGAAAGCAGCACTTCAATTCATGAGGATCCTTGAACCAAATTATGCAGGAAACTAGATGCAGTGAATGAAATGAATGTATGATGCAGGATGATTGCTTTATTTATAGATGCTAATGAGCCCCTTCAGAAAGAGTGCGTCTAAATTTGAACAAATAACTAATGCATCTTTTGGGTAAACAAGTACCATGATGCCTCACTCCATAATCAAGTCAGGGGTGCCGCTCATTTGTCCATTGAATTAATTAATCAAAATTTACTTGTAACTTTTCATAAGAGAAGTCATCAATCCATATACAACTTTCTGGAAAGTTGCAATACCTTTCCGATTGAGGTTTTGTACTGTAGGATTATTGACCCACCAATGGACAATTTTCTTATTTCCATTCAATTTAGAAATTTAATATTTAAAAAAATTCTTATTAAATTTCCAACAACAACAAATCTAGAAATTTTAGGAATAATTAATTCACTTGGAGCATTTTTTTTATTTTTACATTATGAAGTAATTATAGTACGAATAGATAGCATGAAGATGTGTCAATTTTATTGATTCATTTATGGGGAATGGTTCTAAGACAATTTTTGAACATATTAAAGGTAGTGATAATCTACTAGTTGATATCTTATCAAGACTTATTTATTGAACAAGAATGGAATATTCATGGACCATCATCCTCGAATAACGACTATCATGGACCATAATCTTCGAATAACAGAAGACCACAAAGCATAAGAATAGCTTTCAATAGCATAATGATGCATCATGGACATTCACCATTTACTGGATTTCAAAATAGCATAAGTAGAGCAACATCACCACCAATACTCACATTTGACTTTAATGGCACTATAATTGAAGGAATAAAAATCAAACTTTGAGGTATAGGACAAGGGTACTAGGACTCATTGATAGACAATAGATTTTCTTAGACAATAACTCTCGAAACATCTAGATAAATAACTAGGCATGAGGTTAGGACATGAGAAAATTATTAGAGCCTTAGATCAAGAGTTTATTAGTTTTAAATTTAATTTTCATCAAAGCCAACACCATATTCATTGTATTGAAAACAGTCTCCAAACACTTCCTAGAGATCACGTGGCATTGATTAACCAATTTATCAAACCAAAATCTTCAATATCTTAGAATGTAGTAAAAGGCAAGTAACACTCGGAAAAGAGAACTAAAAATTGGCAAAGAATGTGATCAACATAAGAATAAAAAAAAGAGGTTATTGAACCCATCAATGAAGAACAAGAGACTAATGAACCCATTGAAGAGGGAGAGATCATAATTGAGGTTTTAGAAGAAGATATTGAAATGGAGTAGCATCAGACTAAAGAAGATAAACAACAAAAGCATGAAAGGTTTCTTAAGACTTTACCGTTGGAATTGATAAGTGATATATTTTGCTGAAAATATGAGTATACCCCTTGGAATTCAATTTTCTTTAACTAAAACCCATAATTGTAAAATTTTCTAATAAAAACCCAATGATTAGGCTCCAACTAAGCAATATCCATAATTAAGTATGACTTGGCAAAATTGGTATTTTTGGATGTCTAAATTACCCCTAATATCATTGACTTTGGGTCTATTACTTCTTATCTACATTTATTTTATATTATTTCATTCAATTAAACATTTTGAAATGTTTATGCAGATTTGGAAAAGAAAAATTTTAGTGTCATGATTTCAATGCATATTAATAACAAAAATTATATGATATTAGAGTTTTGATTCCTTATATAGTTGTTTTCACATTTATGTAAAAATGAGCATTATTTTTCCTTTTCAAATAATTGTAACAGGTAAATTAGTATTTTTCACAAATGTACAAATGTTATTTTATTCAAAATTACCAATATTTTACATATATAAAATAACAATATAAGCTCCAAGTAAAATAATACATGCAAAATAATTTACCTACAAAATAAATAAATAAATATTGTTTGATTCAAAAGTTAATTAAGTTATTTGCATACACATATATATAATATTATCAAAACATGCCTAACATATGTAATAATACATGCAAAATAATTTACCTATAGAATAAATGAATGTTGATCGATTGCAAGCAACACATAATAATAACAAATGTGCCTAGTATATGTAATAATACTGTAGACATCGAAATTTCGGAATTTTTCGTGTTCACAAATACCTGCAAAATAATTTACCTACAAAATAAAAGGATGTTTTTAGCCAATTGATTCAAAGTTAATTTATTACCTATATTCTACTTTAAAATAAAGGTAATTTATTTCACACAGATATAATAATAACAAAATGTGCCTAATGTATACATGCAAAATAATTTACCTACAATGATTGTCAAACAAATATAAGAAATGGAATAGATGATGGTAAGACAAGTATAAAGTAGATACTTTTGTAATAATAAAGCACTTATTTGCTATAATTAAGGTGAATAATTAAATTCATCAACATAATTAGGGTGTTGTGGCACAATTGTAAATATTTTGAAAATAATAGGTATTTATTTGTTTACATGGAAGTTTATTTCAAATTTGGGTTTTATTTGGATGTTTAAAATGAGATGGGTTTTGGTCAACGAAATAAGTGTTGCATGGGCTTATATCTATAGAACCCTATATTTTGTTAGAAGAAATACCAAAAGAAAAATTAAGAATTTTGTCATTAGATATGCAATATGAGATCCTGAAAAGAGCATCACAATCCATGCATGAACATCAATTACGATTACAATGTGCTTTGTATTAGTCCATCTTTGATCCAAAATTTGAGATTGATAATATTATAAAGATATATCTACCATGTCTTTGTGATAGTACATAGAATTGTAATTGTAAACTAGAGGTTAGTATACCTTTGGATAGGATTAAGGTAAGAGACTTTAGACCATGACATTTTAGTTTTGAGCATAAAGAAAAGCATAATGTAGTAGACGTTAACCCAACCTTACTATTAGAATTCGGTTATCTTGATAAAATATTTATTAACCATAGTTCCTAACTAGAATTATTCCTTGCTAAGCCTAAGAAAGTAGCAAAATATTATTTAGAAGTTTGGAAAGAAATTTGTACAAGTTTTATCAACGGTACTCTAGATTAGTATATGCATATGCACAAGAAAGAAGATAGGCATTTAGCCATGAAAAAAGATCTTTTAGACTGTATTCTATACCACCCTATATATGAACTCTTCACAACAAAATATTTTGAGATATCGAGGAGTCCAGATGTTAGTTTTAGATGAATAAGTATGATATGATATTAGCAGTAGAAGAAGAAGAAATGTATATTTACAGCAAGACAAATGTCTGTCACCAATCTTACTAAAAGCCTCCAAATTTCAAAGAAGAAAATTCAAAAACCTATTACAAGATAAAAGAAAATAGTGAAAGAGAAGCAGAATTAGAAGTCGAAAATGAATAATAATGGAATAATTTGACAAAAGATTAAAATTGCACAATATTGACAACATAATAGAAACATAAAAGAGCTGATAGCAGATAAGCAAAAAAATGAGCAGCAGCCTAAGTAGAGAATATTTCATAATAGCATCAGAATGTAAATGATGAATAGAATAATTACAAAATAGTAAATAAAGAATTTTCTTTTACCCATTTCAGACTTTTCACTCCAAAAAAAATCCTAATGAATAAGAGTACGAATATGACATTTTCATTAAAACCAGGTTGGTGGGGGGACCCTTGGCTAAAGAGTCACAGTTGACGATGGGGGAGACGGCGAGAGAGGACAGCAGCAAGGGCACGGTGATCTCAGTAGAAGACGCTCTCGAAACAGTTCTCAGAGTGGTCCAGCGGCTGCCGCCTGTCACTGTGCCCCTCCACGATGCGGCCGGGAAGGTGCTGGCGGAGGACATTCGCGCGCGCGAACCTCTGCCGCCGTACCCTGCGTCGGTGAAGGATGGATATGCGGTGGTAGCTTCCGATGGGCCAGGCGAATATCCTGTAATCGCTGAGTCAAGAGCTGGCAACGATGGACTTGGCATCACCGTCACTCCTGGAACTGTAGCCTATGTTACCACTGGAGGTAAAATAATAAAGATTTTGAATTAATTTGGCAGTCTCAGTTATTTGGATGGATGCTTTACAAATGTTTTTATTCTAGGATAGAATAGGATTGGATTGGATTGGATTGGATTGAGTAACTAGTAAACTTCGAGGTATATTGAAAGTAGAGGTGAATTATTTTGTTTATTCTGAGGGGATTATAAGGCGAGTAGACATTAGGAAATTTTTATCTCTTCTAATCCTATCATTTTGTGTTTGGGGAGGTGGGATTGGAATGGAAAAGTTTCCTTGACGAATATCCGTCTTCTATGTTCAAGTTGGACATATTTTTTTTTTATCATTTCTTCGTCCAACATACCTAGAATAAAGTGAGTTATCCAATCCAGTCCTAGACACCAAACAAAATGAACTCACAAACTTCACGCAGTCACTACCCATCATCCTTGGAGAATATCAAGCCAACAAACCATTTGTGCATCATGATCCCCTAGCCTAGTACTAGGAACCGTGTTTACTATAGTCCAAAGAACCATGTTTCCTGTAGTCCTAAACTCTGGACATTAGTGAAATTTGTACTCATCAGAATTTTCTGTCGTATACAGTAGTTTATAACCTTAGAGATCACTAGCCTTTCTTTCCGAAGGTTTTTGGTCTCGACATATTAGTCTTTTTGCCTTTAATCCGTTCTCCCGGTGTGCATTGTTTTAGGACCAATACCTGATGGTGCAGATGCAGTGGTACAAGTTGAGGACACTGAAGAAATTGAAGAGCATTCACTTGATTCAAGGCAAGTAAGAATATTGATACAAACAAGCAAAGGAGTAGATATTCGTCCAGTGGTATGATGTCATCCTTTGATGGTTGATTAACATTTTTGTTTGGGTTTCTTCCTTTTCATTTGAGAATGTCTCGTCCTCCTATATATTGCATCTTTGTATTAATACATTTTTGTTTCTTGCATAAAGTACCTATTGCTTGAAATAAGTTGGATCACTGGTGGAGCAAAAATAGGAAGTAGAGAAAGAAGAACAATACCTTAGAATTTAACAAAGGTCTCCTAGGAGTCTCACCTAGAACCCAATTAAGGCTACATTACACCAGGATGCTAAAACTAATCGTGCAACCAAAATTCCCAAATACAAAAAGTAAACTGACAACCTAAGTATATAAACTTGACTGAAGACAACCTGGTCTTTGTGCATAGTTCCCATTTATTAATTGGAAAAAGATGTCCATAATGCTTTATGGGTTTGACAGAGGATCAAAACTGGAATTTAGAGAGAGTTTCTTAGAACTATTAAATCACATGGAGGGCAGTAAAGGGAGAGTGTGCACCTACAATTGCATAAGCGACTATATTTAGCATTGTTCCATGATGGATATCTTCATTTGTACCTTTTGTCAGTCATGTTGTATAAGGGGAAAAAATAATAATCTCTTTTGCAAACTTACGGTTCTCGTACTTGTATAATCTAATGAAGTTTTAAAAGCTCATTCAAAAATTTGTTTGCCAGGGTTGTGACATTGAAGCAGATGCTGTAGTATTGACATCTGGGCAAAGAATTGGCGCTTCAGAAATTGGTTTGCTTGCTACTGTAGGAGTGACAATGGTGAAGGTGGTAAAAGAATTAATGTTGTGCTTAGTAATTTGTTACTGAGAGCAACTATGCCATGTATTTTCCATTTGTTTAGGAATGAACTTTTGTTCCCTATAAAATAATAATAATAATAGATTGACACTGGGAACTAAATGTCATGTAGGTATATCCAACTCCAACAATTGGTGTGCTTTCCACAGGAGATGAACTCGTGGAGCCAATGACAGGTTGTTTAAATCGTGGCCAGGTACTGGAAGCTACTGAAATCTCTCTCTCTCTCTCTCTCTCTCTCCCTCTCTGCACATGTTTAAGGTCCTTCACTTTGTAGTACAAAAATAACAGTGTGCGAGTGGCCAATTTAGTTTTAAAAAGTCTACGAGAGTACATTCATATGCTGAAAATGGTGCATGGTTCAGGTGCTAATGTAAGTTCTAGACCATTGTTAGTCAGGAAAAAATGGTAGAAAAATATTCAACAAAGTTTAAAACCTCGGATTCTTAGGTATTATTAATTCAATGTTCCACGAATTCATACTTATTCAGGGTTAATTACACTAACACCCCCTGAAGTTTATCGAGTTTTCACAAAACTCCCTCACGTTTGAGACATAACACTAACACCCCCTCAGTTTTTAATTCACTTTCACATAACCCCTTTAGTCAAAATTATGCTAATAAATTGACAACTTTACCCTTATAACTAATACTTAAACAATAAAAAAAATCTTTATAATTTATACAAAAAATAAATTAAACATTAAAATAGTATCACTGTCTTCATCTTCTTTTTCCCTGCTAAGAATGCTTATGAACAACGGGATTCTACTTCATAAGCATTCTGTTTGCATCCATAAGAAAATAATTAACAGCAACAAAATTTCAGTTTCATGAAAAATTACTTTGATATGCCAAAACAAGTCAAGAGGCACAAAAGCAACTGAATTTGCAACTTGTAATGAAATTTCTTGTATTTTGGTCTAATTCTATTCTTTCGAACCAAAAAAAGCACAGTTGCTTTTCTTCCTCAAATTAATTTCCATAGAAAAGAGTAAAACAAGAATTCCTGAAGAATAATGGAGCATCGATGCATAAACCTGCTGAATAACTTAATAAAGTTCATAACCTCTGCCTGTAGAGCCTTGATGCCCCTCCCATTTTGTGAAAGCCCTGATATCATTGCATTCCAAGTTATTGTATCCCTCGTTGGCATCCTCCTACACACCTGACTGTTGTCTTCAAAATTCCCACACTTTGCATACATGGTTGAAAGAGCACTTCCAATTATTACTACGAGACTAAACGCACTTTGGTACTACAAGACTGAACGCATACTTGATGGTACGGGCATGGATTTGCTTTCCTTGTTCAAAAGCACTAAGACTCGAACATGCTTTGAGGACGCTAGCCCTCATTCATAGGGCATTCTTCCCCTCCCTTTTTTAATGTTTAATTATTTTTATTTTTTAATATTTTCTTTTCTATGGAAGAGACTCTACGAAAAGACTAGTACTTGGATCTAGGGGAAGACGTGAAACAAAACCTAGCACAATGGCTAGATTCATATAGCCAACCCCACTTAGTAGGAAAAAGCTTTGTTGTTGTTGTTGAATATTTTCTTTTCTATATAATTATAAAGACTTTCTTTATTGTTCAAGTAATTAATTATAAGGGTAAGTTGTCAATTTATTAGCAGAATTTTGACTGAAGGGGTTATGTGAAAGTGAATTAAAACTTGAAGGGCTGTTAGTGTAATGTCTCAAACGTGAGGGGGTTTTGTGAAAACTCAATAAACCTCAAGGGGTGTTAGTGTAACTAACCCTACTTATTCATCATTGTGTCCTTTGCTTTGGTTCACAGAGTCATACCCTACCCGTGTCTCATCACATTACAAGACAAGGGTAGGTGTTTTAGTCTGCTGTTAAAAGTATAGTTTGCAATTGTATTGGCAGTACCGTTATCAATGATGCTGCTACTTCACATGTGGTAAGAATACAGAGTAGGCTGATGCAGTTCTTGTGCAGATTAGGGACTCCAACCGCGCTATGATACTGGCAGCTTCACTACAGCATCATTGCAAAGTTCTTGACCTAGGTATTGCTAGAGATGATGAAGAAGTACTGGAGAATATCATCAATACTGCCATTTCTGCTGGAGTTGATGTTATTCTTACGTCTGGAGGTGTTTCCATGGGAGACAGGGACTATGTCAAACCACTATTTCAAAGGAGAGGAACAGTGCATTTTAGTAAGGTGGGCTTAATCTGCAGTCATTCTCATATGTTTTCTTTCTCACTCTATATTTCCTTGTAGGATGGGTATAGGAAATAGGAACCAAATTCCAATTGTGATGATGTATTGAACTGAAAGGTGGTTTGATATTGTTATAGAACATAATATATAATGTTAGTTTAGAATTTAACCGGCTCTTCAGGTTTGGATGAAACCAGGAAAGCCTTTAAATTTTGCGGAGATCAATTCCAGACCTGCAGAGAATATGCCAATGAAAAGAATTTTTGCATTCGGGTTGCCTGGAAATCCAGTTAGCTGTCTTGTCTGCTTCCATGTATTTGTGGTCCCTACCATCCGCCGTCTTGCTGGATGGAAAAATCCTCATCTTTTGAGGTTGCTGAAACTTGTGAAGCTCTCTCTCTCCGTGCCTTTGTTACTGAAGTGATTTTCTGGAGATTGATATTACACCCACCTTACTTTTTACATTTCTATGTACAGAGTGCATGCTCGTCTTCGTCAGCCTTTAAAGACAGATCCTGCACGCCCAGAATTTCATCGTGCTATCGTTGGATGGGAGTTAAATGATGGATTGGGATATCCTGGGTAAGTTGTTTAAGGAACTTGTTGTGTAGGTGTTTTGTCTAGTTCCTTTCAGAGTCAAAATACCTTTTTCCCTATATGCCAAATCATTGTTTTTTATTTGAGTGTTTGTATGTTTTAATCCTCTTTCTACATTAAGGGAAAAACTCTTTCTATTTTGCTTTTCAGCTTTGTTGCTGAGAGTACTGGCCACCAGAGGAGCAGTCGGATTTTAAGTATGAAGTCTGCTAATGCTTTGTTGGAGTTGCCAGCAACAGGCAGTGTAATAGCAGCTGGGACTTCTGTGCCAGCCATCATTATTTCTGATATAAGCAATGCTATTTGCGAAAGTTCCTTGTCACCTAATTCGGCATCACCTTTCCAAAGATTTATACTGCAAGAAAGAACTGTAGCTGAGTCTCAGGATGCCGGGGTTAGAGTAGCAATTCTTACAGTGAGTGATACTGTTGCATCAGGGGCTGGGCCTGATAGAAGGTATGGTACCTTCTTACCAACACACATAGTACATATATATGTGTCCATATATTATCTTAAGGGCTGCAAAGCTCAACCTCATTTAACGACCTTGTGAACATGAAACTTTTTATGTTCTGTAAAATGAGATAATTTTTGTAGTACTTTCCACATGGTGACGTTTACGATCTCCTTATAAAAGTTTGTTTCCTTACCTCATAGTAGTTTTGTAAACTTACTCGAGTCTTAACATATTTTGTAAACTTTCCCTACCTCATAATATGCTACTAGGACCTTAAGAATGAGTACTCAATTACACTAGTTGTATCAACATACGCCTTCTTTATGATCTCCTCATAAAAGTTTGTTTCCCTGTCTCATAGTAGTTTTGTAAACTTACCTGAGTCTAACATATTTTGTTTAACCTATGTTTAAATATCTTGAAGTCAAATGCTCCCGAGAAAAAATTTATCCAAATGCAGTTGCTTTTTTACTCTTTGTTTCCTGATAAGTTGTGAACCAAGTCTTCGGTCAGGATTTTCAGTTAATCTAGTCGCATCAACATACGCCTTTTTGAGTTTTTGGTTACATGAGGGCAATTTGTAGATGCTAGAACGATGGCACATTTGATGTTCCTCATTATCAAAGTTTGATATGGAAAAGGTGAATGCTGTGCAAAATATTATGTAGGAGCTGTTTCTCACAGCTGAATCTCTTTTAAAATTTGCTGGAAAATTCATTTTAAAAAAATCAATGACTTCACTTTTGGACAGAAATTAGTTGATCCATTACTCTTCTGGCATTGATTCTCAACAACAAGGTGCTTTTCCAGGGGCTTGGGGGGTTTCTAGGGTTGCTCAATGTACAAAATAGTTTGTTACAGTTTTCTGTCTTAGGTAGACCATAATTGAACTCAATGCATCTAGATACTCCTTTTTGAATGGTTGTTTCAAGGAGGTCACTTAATAGATGCCAAAGAAACAACGCAAAGCTGATATTGCTCCTTGTCAAAGTGAAATATGAAATGCACTCTATGCTTTGCGACATTATAATGAACCCTTCGCTTTAACTTGTTGTTCCTGTGTATATAAAGTCCTCCTGTGGTTAGTAAACACTAATCATGGAACAAGCACTCTTGGAGAGTGCGGTGCAACGGAGAGTTGTATGCTGTTCAGGTATCTGAAACTAGACTCCATCTAACTTTGAATTATATCTTTCTCAGCAAGATATGCTGGAAAAGTTACAACCTTATGTTTGGTTAAATTTTGTGAATTTCTGTTCCTCGTAAGAATTTATTTGAACATATTACATGGATCTTCTTCGTGTTTGTGCATTCTGCATTCATCTATGAATATTTCTTTGTTGTGTCTTGTTTTGCAGTGGTCCAAGAGCAGTTTCTGTTGTAAATTCCTGTTCAGAAAGGTTGGGGGGAGCTAGGGTTGTTTCAACAGCTGTGGTCCCGGATGATGTAAGCAAAATAAAGGATGTTCTACATAGATGGAGTGATATTGAGCAAATGGATCTCATCCTCACCCTCGGTGATTTTCTTGCTTTTTAGTGGGCTTGTTTCTTTCGATAAACTAGCACCTCTTTAATACAGTTTTGTTGAATTCTTTTGAAGTAATTTTATATTCTCAAATTTAGGTGGTACTGGCTTCACCCCACGAGATGTAACCCCAGAAGCAACCAAAGAGTTGATTGAGAAAGAAACACCTGGTCTTCTTCATGTCATGATGCAAGAGAGTTTGAAGGTAGCTTAACATATATGGAAAAATATGCTTCTATATGATGAATTCAAATATTATTTCTCTTGCTGATTATTTCTTGAATGTGATTTTCATAGTATTTAAGTGCAACTCTAAGGTGTAGGTTGGTTTCTGTAATTCTAATGACAAATCTCAATCTTGATGACAGAAAGCTCTTAGCAACGGATACTCGGATACTTAACAGCGATTTGATTGAACTATATAATGACATACGCACCTATTTTGATGAATTGACATCAAAGATTTGTTTAGCTTAAACTCTAATTTTTCCTTAACTGAGACAGGTGACACCAACTGCTATGCTCTCGCGCTCTGCAGCAGGAATAAGAGGGTCATCACTGGTAAGGTCACAATGTCATTGTGCATTCCTTATCTTTCGCAGTAGTAGATGTGGAACTGTGAACTATATAGTTACATAAACATTGTCAACGGTCAGTGATGTTAGATTGATATGGTTTTTTAAACATCTGGATTGTATGGGTGATTTGGTTTGACTCCCTAATTGTGTAGTCTTTGTTCGTACTGTATACATTCAGATCATTAACATGCCTGGGAATCCAAACGCGGTTGCTGAGTGCATGGAGGCTTTGTTGCCTGCCCTCAAGCATGGACTAAAGCAGATAAGGGGAGACAAGAGAGAAAAGCATCCCCGACACGTCCCTCACGCACAAGGGGCGACTACGGATGTGTGGGAACAAAGTTATAAGCTGGCCTCAGCTAGTGGCACCGAGCCAGGCTGTTCTTGTTGCCGTTAATACGGAGGAATAAAGTCATGTAATATTGTGTATTTTTTGTCCAGCATCTCATCAGTGTAATAATGGTATTGTTGTATGCCTTCATAAGTTTATTGTTGATAGGGAAAATGCGGTTGCTAAAGATACGCATATGACATATCAGGAATGAGAATATTTGGAAAAAGGGAATTATGTCGAATATTTGGGATATGGGATAAACAACCTCCTTTTGGTATTGATACCGAATTGAGAATGTAAATATTTTTTCAATGTGAGAGTCACTTACTTTTTTCATTTGTTTACGTGTTAGAAAACACATATGACATATCAGGAATGAGAATGACACTGATACTTATATCTTGCATTTCCACTCCCACTTCGAGTAAGTATATACGTCAAATTGGATGGAATTATTCATATTTGATTATTTGAGTTAACATGTCCTTGCTTAGGAATCATAAATGGATGAAAATTTAGTTTTTGTATAGTGTGAATAAGGTTCTAAAAGACGGTAGACCCTAGTTGGCCAGCGGGCTAGGACTTAGCGTCTAGGTGGATTAGGAAGATTTAAGTAAATTTCTTATATATTGTGCTAGTAAAGGTCACACTTTATGTGTGAGAAATATTGTTTTTGTTTTTATTTTTAAATATTGTTTAAAAAAAATTAATTGGTAGGAGTTATGCAACCATAAAAAATAAAAAATAAAAAAAATAAAAAGCTGGCTGTTATGAAGAGCGAAAGAGATAGAGAGTGAGTTTAAAAAGAGATAGAGAGAGTGAGTTTAAAGAGTAGTAATAGGGTGACATGGCAGTAAGGTTTAAAAAAAAAAAAAAAAAAAAGCAAAGGAAATTACTTTAATGCCACAATTTTTTTCTTTTCTCACATTTTTTTCCAGTTAGGTATTCAAGGTTATATTTGTAATTTCAATGAGTTTTGGTTGACAAAGTGAGTTCTATTAATTGTAGTTTAGATAAATAAGTGTCTATTTATACTTAAAAACACATTATTATGTTGAAATACATATATTGCAAAATAAAATGACATAAATTATAAAGTATTAGAACATATTAAAAACATGGAGAACAAACATGTAGTGAATGTTCATCTAAATATTTAACAAACCTTTTACATTTTATTGAAAACTTAAAATGCAAAATGAAAGTTATCGATTTTTTGTCTAAGTTAGAGTGGTGACCTAGGCGGGTTTAGGCGGGCTAGGCGGATGCCTAAATGGGTCTAGGCAAACTTGCTTAATTTTTAAACACCTACAGACTATTGGGACGGTAGCCAGCCGCCTAGCGCCTAGGTAGGGCTTAGGGGGCGCTAGACGGAGAATTTTAGAACAATGAGTGAGAAAATGGGAGTATTCGTCTTTGAATTTTAGTGGACTTGGAGCTTTGATCCATAAGTTAAAAATCCTTTTAAGTAATTTAGTCCGTGAACTTGTCACAACGATCTTTTAGGGTAACTTTATTCGACCTTTCATCCCTTGAGACTTGACCAATAGGGCTAAGGGCCAGAGCCGTGTTTGTTTGGGTAAGGGTGAAGATATTGTTATCCAAATCCTTGTCAAAGCATTAAATGGTTGCCACATACTCAAATCCATGTCCATGTGGTTTTCTAGTTTCTTCTTCTTGTTTGGTTTCAGGATGTGAGTGCTGTGCTGCCATAGAAACTGCAGAAAAAAGAAATGGAAGTCAGTGCTCACTGCCACTGCTACAAGTCTCTGGTTCTTCCCAAGCTCCCTCCTCATGCAGCTCATGCTGCTCTGAGTCACGTTGTTGCTTTTCGGCAGCGCTCCTCCAGTATTAATAGTACAAGTCCACAGCTCCTCCGACTCCAACGCCAACGCCAACCGCTACTTTTTAGTATCAAACCAAAATCAAAAAACCACCGAACAATTTATGCCGCCTCCTCTTCCTCCTCGGTTCAGACTCCACCAGATAAATGGCTTCTGGAGCCCGTTGGTACGTACATATATGCCCACTTCTGTCTCATTATTTCTTAATTTCATGTGGTTAACTTGTGTAGAAAATCTACCCAGTTATATATTCGAATTTTGAAACTTGTTAATTCCAACAGGGCTCAATATATATATGTGTGTTATGTATTACAGTTCCGGCATTTACTCAGATCTGTTTCTTGCTAGTTTTTCATTTTTGGATGAAGGAGTGACTATTTCTTCTTAATTACCCACCTAACACTAACAGGCGATGGAGATTCAAGGCATATAGGTTTCAAGGTTCCGATGCCAAACGCATTTGAAATTTCTTCTGTAAGTTGTTTTTTTTCATGTTTTCTTTTTAGCTAGTTGTACGTTATGTATGTATTGATTCTTAAGTACAAGTATTGAAATAGTTGACTGCTTGCTTGTTTCGATTCTAACCTAGAATGAGGTGACTGTTGGCCGCCTCCCGGAAAAAGCTGATATGGTGATTCCAGTTGCAACAGGTACCTAGTAATAGTATTACACACAATAATCGTATTTCCAAATTCTTCTCAGAAAGGTGGTTGAATTATATCAGGAGTGTAGTTCATTCAGTACATATATTGATCAATCTGCAGAGATAAATTAACCTAGCTAGGTTGCTGCTACTGTTAGACCGTGATTCCACGCATTCTTGTCATTTGTTCGGATCACATCCCATCCCATTCTGATCATAATTTGGTTTACTACATCACATAATTAAAGTTAACATTTCACCTTGGCTATAGTATAGGCTATAGCTAGGAACTTGGTCTCGACGTATCCATGCCACCATTGATGACATTGACTGCCGTGGAGTACACGGATACATACATGCGTCCAGGGTTTAGTAATCCTACTCTGAATCCGAATAAGTTCTCTCCCAGGAATATATATGTGGAGGGTTTTTCGATACCTTGTTCTCAAACTTTAAGCTAGAAGTAGAGGAGCATACATGTCTTAGTATAAATAAGCAGAAGATGCTTTCAATGTGGATTCTGTAGGGAAACTAATTTGCAGAACAAGGCAATGGCATTGTCACCGAGACATTAAACATTCATTCATTCCGCGGTAAAAATTAAGATGGCAGTAATCATTTTTCTTTAGAGGGTTTAAAATTAATTTTGGTTTCTTTTTTTCTTTAGACATTTAGTTCTTTGATGACAAGATGATTACCTTTAAGCTGATATGTGAACCAACTTTCTCTAAATCAATGGAGGCAATAAGTTACCATCCGGAAAGCATTGAGTTAATATTTCCGCAATTCCGGATATTCTTCAGTTCTTTGAAGTTTAAGATGAAGTAATATTCATTGGTTCATGTTTGCGTTGCTCTCCGGGTTTACAGTATCTGGTGTGCATGCTCGCATCCAAAAGCAAGAAGGGAAGCTATTAGTGACAGATTTGGACAGCACAAATGGGACGTTCATTGACAACAAACGGTTGAGCGCAGGAGTAGTTGCCACAGTACCACCTGGGTCTTGTCTTACGTTTGGTACATACATTAACCTTTTTTTCTTCTTTCTTTATCTTCTCTCTTTTGATTTTGGAAACTTATACATATGCTCATATCAAATGAGGCAAGCAGAACACAAGATTCCTGATTGAGTGTAGGTAGAGAAAAGAAATCAGTAAACTCTGTACAAATCAGTTGTTGAATCGTGGATTGTATTTAGTGTTGTTAATTTTGAAGTTGAAGAAATTGAATCTTTGCTGAAGGCTGGGGCGGGGTGAGATTCCGACACAATGCAGGGAACAATGGGTTTGTCTTTCCCTATCAATCACCTCATAAGTTATCAACAAACCTTAAAACTCTCATACAATACAATACACAGACGTAACAGATTTATACACAGACGAAACCTAGTATCTGGTGAAGATAGACTGTCTGATGTTTTTTGTGTTTCTTTTGACCCTCTTGCTTAAAATTTACCTAGTTGAATGGTGTTACGTAAATTGTATACTGCTAGTGTGTTCTGTTGGCAAACGGAATTGTTCAAGTTTTGATGTTGAACTGCCTAATTTGTTGCAGGAGATGAACACTTGGCTGTGTTTCGCGTCTCAAAACTGGAGAATGTGGAAGCTGCAAGCAATCCAGATCCTTCTCAAGATAAAGTAGAGACTGATATCCCAATTGAAAGTACAACAAGTTGAAATATATACAAGATATCTTTGTATGGCATATATAAATGAACAAAAAAAAAAAGAACGTTTTTCTGAAGAAAGTTCAAATTGTTTATCTGTCGATTAGCTTGGAAATAATGTTCTCATATGGAAATAAATCTCCATGAAATAATCTAAAGAGAGCTTTACTAAATTTTGATTCATTGTAGAGTTGTGTTTTTTAATTTTTCTAATTTTTATTTTCTGGAAGTAAAAAATAAAAAAAATAAAAAATTACTAGGAGGTTCCTGATATCGAATCCTAAGGTCATATGTAGACAACCCTCCGCTCAAAACGTTTTCAACAATTGCCATCCAAAAACTGTGCTTGCTTTGTCACGCAACAAATATAATGTGTAATACGCACAGAAATCTACTTGTCTAATTAGCAAGGTAAGTGATGGATTGCTCTAGTGGTTAAAGCTTTATTCTTCAACCCAATGCGTTCCAAGTTTAAACTATTCCCCTTCCTTTAGTGTAGATTGTTAACGCTCAAAATTGAGAGATCAACAAAGGACTAGTATGGTCAACCCTTGACAATGAGCTGCTCGCCTACGAATCCTTATCCTGATCTAAGATTGCATGTTATTCCTAATGGAGGCACTGATCGACTGGAAAATCAGATATATATTTGTTTTTAAGCTCTCAAGACAATGTTATTCAATTTTATTCTTGTGGATCAGACCCCTTATAAGGAGTACTCGTCTCCATTACATAGGCCCTGACTGCGCCAGAAAAGTCTTGGGCTTTTAATTCTCTCATCGCCCCATTAGTAAATGGGCTTCACATTGGTCTACAAGCTACTTCTCCACTATCTGAACAATACGTGAAAAAGTGATATCGTTGCAAGGCTACTTGCTTGGTTTTCCAAGTCGATACCTTTTGAGCGCAACACTTGTTAGAGGGTGGTTGGAAAGCACTTAAGCTGATCACTAGGTCTGACAAGTGTCATTTCATAGACTTTCTTCTTCATTGGTGGTCAACGTGTGGCTTGGAGTTGATGTTTGTATAGACCTGTCCTTAGAGTTTCGCGCTTTGAAGTTGTCAAGCCTGCCAACTGGCTTGAGCAGTTGCAAAAGTATTTTAACCTCAGTGCTTGTTCCTTTTTGTCAGTAGACAATCCAGGGCCTTGGGTGGTCATCAGTGGTTGTACTTATTTGTTAATT